AATAGATCTGTTTTGGAAGAAGTGCAGCCAGAGTGCTCCTTGGAGGCCAAGATGGCTAAGCTTCGTCTCTCATACTTTGGACATATTGTCTGGAGGGAACAGTTGCTGATGAAGGATGTCATGCTGGGTAAGGTGGAGGGGCAGAGAAAAAGAGGAAGACCCCTAACGAGATGGATTGGCCAGGTGGCATCATTGATGGACTCAAGTGTGGCAGCAGTTGTGAGGTTGGCCCAGGATCAGACATTGTTTCGTTCTTCTGTGCATGGGGTCGCTATGAGTCGGTTCCGACTCTATGGCACCTGACAAGAACAACTGTGGCTCTGTAGGATAAGCTATGGACTACTGACAAAAAGATTGCAATTCTAGCTCAGCAGCAATTCCTCGGGAGAAAATGAGAGACTTTCTGCTCCCACAAAGATCTACCACCTCGAAACTCGATAAAGGTTTGCTGAACTGCAAGGTCAGTAGTTCAAGATCACCAGCTGCTCCTTGGAAACCCTGTACAGGGTAGCTATGGGTCAAATCAACTCGACGGCACTTAACAATATCATTAGTCACAATGAAATTTATCTCTATGTTTTCTCTGCTTCACCACTACCAGGTACTATGTACACATATACACTTAAACACAAAACTAATGTAGGCAAAAGCAATTATATGTGATTTAGACACAAACAATAAGTTCTGTACATATTTTCTGAGGAGCAGGTGCTGTGTTTAAAAATTAAAATAGTAATTGAAGACCAAAGAATTTTCAATTCCATCAAGAATTTTCTGCCAGGATGCTAATCATTCTGGTCAAGATTGATAAATATTTTAGTGTACCTTTGATGATATTGTATACTCTCTCCATAATAGAGACATAAGTCTGTCAATAACAAAGAAGGACTAGAAAAAAATATAAATCAAGCTCATTTCTAATCAATACCATTAATCTATTACTTTTTATTAAAAATGAATCAGAGGATTCTAGGACCATCAAGGGAGAAGAGCACAAGCAGAATGTGGG